AAATGAGGCTTTGCCCCTGGCCAGGGCCTCTCTGCGCCCGTGGGCGAGGAGGGCAGAAGGGATTCCTGCCGACGGAGGGCAGCTACACGGTCTGCGCAGTCGGGGGGCTCGAACGTGAAGGAGAACGGCTCAGATTTTCTACTCCTTTAAAACTTCACGTTTTCCCCAAAGCTTTTCCAATGCGATCCGCTGGTTCCTCTGCTTTATGCTACAAAAAATGAGTCCTCTTCGCTTGGCAGTCCGTTTACGTACTTCTTTTCTCAGTGTTTGCAGCTCATCTCGCCTGCCTACACTTTGCAGCTGTTTGGCAGTGGGAAGGGATCGCAAGGGAAGACCTTATGGGAGAACTCGTACTGCTTGCAATTAATTAATCACGGGCGTGGGCCAACGGCATTGATTTCAGCGGGCTTTCAGCCGGACCCCGCGCGCTGCGGCACGAGCGCACGCTGAGCTCGGCCCGCTCTTGCTCTGTCTGTCGGAGACGTCTGACTTGAGCTGGTGTTCTCTGAGTCTATTGATTTAATCTCTTGCCTGCATTATTTATTTTAAACCTTATGAATCATTAAAATTTATTTTATAAATAATTTAAATTTATTTTGATAATTAATGTAATTTTTATGTTCAGACCAATTCAATTTTTAGAGTTTTTGCTGGTGTATCCTTTCTCTTTCTCGCCTTTGCAGTGATATTCTTAATTAAATTATGCGACATCTCTTCTCTGAACCCTCTCGTTTTGCTCTCAGCCTTCTGCGGCTTCTCAGAGCTTTCAAGTATTGTGACTGCCCCTTTCCAAGAGCAGAGACTTAATTTTAAAAATAAGCTCAGCACCTTCCACTGTAGATATTTACATTTCTGTATGACACGGAAATTTGTGCTGAGCTGACTCATTTTACTTCTGTTATGCATAGTATTCACAGTTGTGTACCCAATATATCAGCTTCTCTTAGAATATTAGAATCACAGAATGGTTTGGGTGGGAAGGGACCTTTAGAGGCCATCCAGCCCAACCCCCCTGCAACGAGCAGGGACATCTTCAACTGGATCAGGTTGCTCAGAGCCCCGTCCAACCTGGCCTGGAATGTTTCCAGGGATGGGGCATCGACCACCTCTGTGGGCAACCTGGGCCAGGGTTTCACCACCCTCAGTGTAAAAAATTTCTTCCTTATATCTAGGCTAAATCACCCCACTTTTAGTTTGAAACCATCACCCCCTGTCCTATCTCCACCTGCTAAAAAGCCTGTCCCCACCTTTCTTACAAACCCCCTCTAAGTACTGAAAGGCCACAATAAGGTCTTTCTGCATTATCATCACTTTACATATTGAAATTTAATTAACAAGAAATTAATAACTTCTGGGATATCATGAAATTTGAACCAAAGGAGTTTGTGATGGATGATGATGGTGAGGGGACTGGAACATCTCTCCTGCGAGGAGAGGCTGAGGGAGCTGGGCTTGTTCATCCTGAAGAAGAGAAGGCTGAGAGGGGACCTTAGAAATGCTTACAAATATCTGCAGGGTGGGTGTCAGGAGGACGGGGCCAGGCTCTTTCCAGTGGTGCCCAGTGACAGGACAAGGGGCAATGGGCACAAACTGAGGCACAGGAAGTTCCATCTGAATATGAGGAAGAACTTCTTCCCTCTGAGGGTGACGGAGCCCTGGCCCAGGCTGCCCAGGGAGGTTGTGGAGTCTCCTTCTCTGGAGATATTCAAGACCGGCCTGGACAAGGTCCTCTGCAACCTACTGTAGTTGACCCTGCTTCGGCAAGAGGTTTGGACTAGATGACCCACAGAGGTCCCTTCCAACCCCGACCATTCTGTGATTCTGTGATTCTTGCCATCTGAGTTTTGCTGAGCTTGGAGTTTTCTTGATTACGGAAGTTTCTTTCCACCTAAAACAGAGCTTCCAGTGCTAACAGCGTCCGTATCAGCTATAGAAAGGAAACAACTGCCCTTGGTTTAGACCTCGCGAGGCCCCAGATGTTGGACAACACACCCCTGCTGAGGGCATCTGCACTGGGATTCCCTGCACCCTCGAGGCACAGGGGTTTAAATCCATCTCTGAGTCTCTTCAGGCTGTGTATTCTGCCCACATCTGCAAGCGTTTCGCCTCCCCAGAGAGGTTACCCCGTATTGTTTTGTGGGAATTCGGTAACCAAATGCCAAGATTTTAGCAAATTAGGAGATATGAAAGCAATAAAGGCTGCACTGAGCAGATTGAATTCTGCCATTCATTTCCAAAGGCTAAGGAGTTCAAACCTTATTCGTATTATTGCGACATGATGTCATCTAAACAGATCAGGCAGACGAATGAGAGCAGCATGTTTTAAGGAACAGAAGTACTCGAGAGATCAAGTTTTGTTTTACGAGGAGAATCTGGTAAGAATTGTTAATGTGAGCTCAGACAAATTGTGGAAAACTGAACCTGATACGATGGTCCTTGCAGCATTCCCAAGTGAGGCAATTCCTCCCCCGTGTCTGTTTAACAGAAGCCAGCCCACCGCTGGCCAGTAAATGGACGTGTTCTTCTTTTCCTTCTCTCTAGGTGATGTTTACAGAAGAGGACGTCAAGTTCTACTTAGCTGAGCTGGCCTTGGCGTTAGACCACCTCCACGGTCTTGGGATTATTTACAGGGATCTAAAACCAGAAAAGTAAGTTGGTGAGAAAGTGAACCGAAATGTAAATATGAGCTTTTAGGTTGTTTCTGCTCCTTGTCATGCTGGGAAGTCAAAAGGTGCCAGAGGCTCTGCCTGCCTTCTTGTAGGTGAGCCTCTACGCGTGAGACCCTCACCAGCAGGAGTAAGGTCTTCCTAGCATATCCTTTTAGCATAAGGCCGAGCACTTCAACTCTGTTCCAGCGTGACGTGGCCTCTGTGTGCCTGGCCTGCAGTTTGGGGAATGATCTCAGTGCCGGATTCGGATCTCGGTGCCGTTGGCTTCAGAAGCAGCCTTCTCCGTTTGCAGCGTTTATACTGGCCTTCCCCTTGGCGAACTTCTCAAAGCACGTACCACATGGGTTGTGGCATCGCTCAGTTTTACTGTCGTCATCGTTTCAAGTAAACGAGCATCTCTGAAAAGTAGTGAGACATGATCACAGAATCACAGAATGGTCGGGGTTGGAAGGGACCTCTGTGGGTCATCTAGTCCAACCCTCCTGCCAAAGCAGGGTCACCTACAGTAGGTTGTAGAGGACCTTGTCCAGGCAGGTATAATCAGGATCTTAAAAAAACTTTTATTAATGATCCAAAATCTTTTCCCCAAATCAGTTCTTGCTCATACTTGCAGCGATTTTCTATTCCTAATGTGGTGCTACAGAGGATTTTCCTTTCTTGCGTCCTTGCAGTACATCAGTAGACTACATGACACCCCCAGCGCCGTCGCTGGGAGTGACATGGTGTTGGTTTTATTCCGTTCCTCTTGCCTGGTGCTTTGCCTGTAGCTTCTGTGCCAGCTCCAGCAAAACGGGCTGCAGCATTTCGAAGTCACCAGCCTTTTTAATGTAATGGGCACCGTCATTTAAAAAGACGACCACTGAGAGCAGTCTGCTTGGCCGTTGTTTACACTTCCATATAACAGCAGAGCAGCTTTTTCCTTCTGTGACATGAAGTTCAAAAATAAGCAGTTTTTTCTTCAAAATGGAGTGCTATTACTTTCACAGTCACGGACAAAATAGGAGACTAAGAGTAATGGAAGGTGGACTTTGTAGCTGAGAAGTTGAAGAGAAGGAGACTACCTACAACACTGTACTATGTGATTTAAAATACCAATTCAATGTTATGTTTTGGCTACAACAGCAATAGTGGTAGTACTATATGAATTCATACCGATGCACCTAACCAGAGCTCTCAGTCCTTCGAGCTAGAGACCCTTTCACAGGTGGCTGAAATTTGCAGCCTCGCCTGTTTATGCAACCCAAGCTGAACACCAGAGTCTCTGGCAAACAGAGGAGGTCATCCTCCAGATGACACCAGCGGAGGGAAGAAGGCACCAGCTCGGCCCGTGGTCCGACATGCAGGTGGGCAGTGGTCACACCAGTGCTGCCACCGCCGCGTGCTGTTGCGTCGTCTGCCGGCAACTCTTCGGTTTCAGCTTCGTTCTGAGTTGCTATTTTATTCATTCAGCATCAACAAACGCGCACGTTGTAGGGTAACTGCAAATATAGGTTTTCAGTTTTAAACATTTTTTCTAGTATGGATCACGCGCTACTTTTCTTTCTGGTGTTAGATGAAGCTGTTTTTCAAACTGACACAGGATATGTGAAGCTGCTGGTAGAAGGTGCCCCAATATGAGCCTGTATATTCAAATATCAGTCATGGTGCTGTTACATTTACAGGCACATGCCATATTTTTTTGCTTTAGGAGAAGCTAGGAACCAAGGAGAAAATGAAGTGCGTGTCAAAACTATTCGCTGTATCAGAGATCCTGAGAACCTGGTTTTTCAGAGTGCTCAGCATTATGTGTCACTTTGCGTTTCAAAGCACATCCTTCACCAGCTTCAGGTGCAAGTGAGAGCACTTAAAATTTCTGCAGACCAAACTGCAGTGTCTCCAATCAGGGAGCAGCAAATGGAGAAATGAGAGCTCACCCCAGAAAGGAAGGCGTCACTGATTTGCCATTGTCACACAGAAATCTGTTGAAAAGCCGAAGATGGAACGCAGTTACCTGTGCATTTTTGTCTGAGACCAGCCAGCCGTCCCCTTCGTTTACCACGCCGCTAAAATCCCCGAGTAGTATCTGTTGTGCCCGCTGAGGCGAGAGTTCTCTGGGAGAAAACCGAAAGTATCATCGTGTCATTAAAGACCTTTGCACAGTGAGATCACGGTGTGAAGTTAAGGTGGCAGCCCTCATGCTTAGCAGGCACGGTGGTGGTGGTGGTGGGGGGGTGGCGGTTGGACTTGGTGAGCTTAGAGGTCTTTTCCAACCTCAATGATTCTATGATTTTATGGTATTTTGTAACTTCTGAACGTATGGTTCGTGGCCTTTGATGTGTAGTTAGATACCAGTGATACAGTTGAATCTGGATACAACTGTTGTAGTATAAAATTACTTTACGTGAAGATAACTACTGCTGTACAGGAAAGGGAATCACGCAGGCTGGTATAACTCAAGTTTACACATGGGGATAAATGCAGGTACCTGTTTGATGGGAAACCATATCCTTTAAAAATAGCTTTATAATGCAAAGCTTGTATGTGGCCATGCCTAGGACAGTGGAGTGCGACAGCCTATGATTTCACTGGAACTTTAGGATTACAGTAAAAAAAACAAAAAAAATATTCATTCTGAAGGTAAAAAGAGCGATATATTTTGAAGTTACCATTGGGAAAGGATAGCTCTGTAAATAAGACAATAAAAGAAAATTAGAACCATCCTAGGATGTTCTCATCCTGCCCTTGCTCCTTGGGTAGGGTTAAATATATGGAGGTCATTACAGGTGTGTTGCTAATCTATTAAAATAGCTGGTGGACACACCATGGTCTCCATAGGAGAGGCCTCTCGGCAGTGCTGCACCAGCTGTGTGCCTAGAAAGTTGCTCCTGATAACTAATTTGCAAACTCTTTGCTGCAGCTGCAGGCCATTGCTCCTTGGCCTGTCCTAGACTCGCCAGCAGCAGCCTCAGGGGACTGCGAGCATGTTTGTGGCCTCAGACCTCTCTCCTGTACATTGAGCAACCCAGCTATGGAGCTCTTCTTCACCAGTCAGCCTTCCTAGGCGTTTGGGGATCCTCGTTCCTCCCCTTTGGTTTCTCTTGATCCGTATCTCCTTTGAGGTGCAATGAGTAGGATTACACCCATGTCTTCAGGAGAAGCATTGCCGGTCTGATCAGAGCACAAGGCTTACTCAGATTTGCAGAACTGGAGATAAATTAATTAGTTCATAATTTCCCAATTCTCTCTTTCTTCCCTTCTTAAACGATAGGCGCTGCATTTGACCTTTCGTTGTTCAGGGCTTTTGCTGTTCTCCAGAACCTCCCAAAAGTAACTGCTAAGAGGTTTGAGATTGCTTCAGTCAGCTCTGTAAGTGTCCTAAAATGAAGTTCATCAGAACTGTTTATGTAAAGAGGACTAGTTAGCAGGTAGCACTGTTAGGCCACTTGAAAGAACACTCAGTGCATTAACAATTAAGGTTCAACGTTTTTTTAAGATTCCCTGAGCAAAAATCTATATTAACAATTCAAAGCTATGAATTAATTTTAAGTGCAACCAGAATGTATACTCTGGGAGTTGTTACAAAATTAGCTGTACTTACTTCAAAAAGGCAAGCACTCGAGTTTTCTGGTTAAGTCTTGCTTTGAACAAGTGGATGCTTCTTCCCTTAAACTGTTGCAGCCAAACTCTTCTCCTTGAGTCATCTTGGTGGTTTCAGTGGCATCCCGTGTGGAACAAGGTACCGTTCCGTCACACTGAAACCCGTGGAGTTACTTACATGGTGAGGCATGTTTCTGTTTAAGAATTGCTGGATCAAGCTATTAAATATGATAAATACACCAGTCCAGAAAAATGGGAACTTATTATAAAGGAGTAGATGATGCATGTGTTATTTCTTATGCTGTGGTTTAAGGGTACGAGTGACCTAGAAGTGACTCTGCCTTCTGAGAATGCACAGACTTTTTTTATTTATTTTTGCCTTTTCTATCTCCAAATTCCCAGATGCACCTTGATACAGTTCTGCCGTAGCGGCTTTGATTAACAAGCAGTGGGTTACGTTGTGGTGCTCTTGGCTGCCTGTACGAGGCACAGCTCATATAACGGCTCATATAACAACTCCTGAATTGCTGAACTACATTAAAAAAACCCCAAAACCCACCACTGCTTAATGCAGCGTGTTGTAAACCGCAGAAATTCATTCATGAACATAGCTGCCCTGTGTAGAGAGGGAAGATCTGAGAATCAGTAAAGGACAAAGACTTTTGGTGGAAAATGGCCATCATCTTCCATCGAAGTAAGCGGTCAATGAAGTGACAGCAGAGAGGAGTTCGGGGTAAGACTTTTCATCATGGTGAGATAGCACGGGGTCATGCCAGCACTGAAACGTCATGAAAGGTGGACAGCTTGTGAGAATCTTCATCCCTTTGGGAGATATTGGAATATTTCACTCTATCTGGTACTTTCATAACAAAGCCTGCAATCAAGTGAAACACTTTTTATGAAGTTTCAGGTTTTCTCTCCCACCTGGAATTTTGGCTACAATTTCTGAAAAACATGAAGTGTGGGTTGAATTTTCTGCACAACCAAGCTGACTTGGAAAGAAATTTAAAACATCAAAATAAACCCCCAGAGTTCCAGCTATAATACATCTGGCAGAACTTCGCAATGATTTGGGTATATGGGAGTTCAAAGTGAAGCCTAAAAGGCATGGCTCAAAACAAACAATGAAGAGAGAGAGAAATGAGAAAGAGTTGCTGTGACCTTGATTTAGAATCATAGAATCATAGAATCACTGAGGTTGGAAAGGACCTCTAGAATCTTCAAGTCCAACCACCAACCCAACACCACTATGCCTGCTAAACCATGTCCTGAAGTGCCACGTCTACACGTTTTTTGAACCCCTCCAGGGATGGGGACTCCACCACTGCCCTGGGCAGCCTGGTCCAAGGCCTGACCACTCTGCCAGTGAAGACATTTTTCCCAATATCCAATCTGAACCTCCCCTGACGCAACTTGAGGCCATCTCCTCTCGTCCTATCACTGGTTACTTGGGAGAAGAGACCAACCCCACCTCACTACACCCTCCTTTCAGGTAGTTGTAGAGAGCGATAAGGTCTCCCCTCAGCCTCCTCTTCTCCAGACTGAACACCCCCAGTTCCCTCAGCCGCTCCTCATCAGACTTGTTCTCCAGACCCCTCCCCAGCCTGGCTGCCCTGCTCTGGACACACTCCAGCCCCTCAGTGTCCTTCTGGTAGTGAGGGGCCCAAAGCTGCACACAGTATTTAATACAATATACACACAATTCAAGAGTCACTGTAAAATAATGTCAAGAACTAATAACAAAGGCTTTTTATCCCTGTGCTGAAGTTGCAGCAAAAAAACCTACTAAGGAGTCTGCAGTCCTAGCTCTACTGTGGGCGTCTCCTGTAACTTGGAGCGTGTCATTCCCCTGCTTAGTTTCCCAGCCTCTGACCTGGAGGTTTTCTGCCTTTATTTTCTCAAGGCATACTTTTAAATGAAGGCCAGTGAAAGCAATTTGAATGTTTGTAGGATGATCCTGAGGCTAAAATATTGTTATTGTTTTGAAATACAGTGCAGGTTGACAATGATAGTGTCCTGTAAACACACTGAAACCTCCAGCTGAACAAATCAAATGGAAAAATCTTCTAGAGAAAGGTTGTCACTCGGTGGGATTATAGCCTAGTTTAACATTTAGAAGTAGTCTGCTTCTTATGTTTCTTATAATTTCAAAACGATGATTTAGAAGAAAGATTCTTCCCAAGCCTGAACCACATGAACAACTTCTGGTTCTTTTTACCCTTCTGCAAAATAACACTAGCTTGTTCCCAATTCGCTGATCCTGCAAACCATAGCTAAAGTCACTGGGATTGTCACAATAGATTTTCTACTGCTGACAGCGTGGGAGAAAAAGGAACTGTAAAGAGACAAAGATAAGAGGAGACAGAGACTGCAATCAGAGAACAAGTTTTCTTCCACAGTCAAAGGAAATCCGTCTGTCGGTGTAATCCAGGTGCTTAGGAGCACCTACGTTGTTCTGTGCTTCTTAACGTCGCTCAGAGCTAACTCAGTGCAATAATTGTCTTTTCCTCGCTGTTTGCCTACGATTTTCTTTTTACATCGAGTGTGATCTGAGTGCACTCTCAGCGAGTTTGCCGATGACACCAAGCTGTGTGGTGTAGTTGACACGCTGGAGGGAAGGGATGCCATCCAGAGGGAGCTGGACAGGCTGGAGAGGTGGGCCTGAGTGAACAGCATGAAGTTCAACAAGGCCAAGTGCAGGGTCCTGCACGTGGGTCGGGGCAATCCCAAACACAAGTACAGGCTGAGTGGAGAGTGGCTCGAGAGCAGCCCTGAGGAGAAGGACTTGGGGGTACTGGTGGATGAGAAGCTCAACA